TTTAATATGTGGGTCATTTCTATCCCATGTATGTTTTCCATGTTCCTCAACATTCCTTTCATTTCTAAAAGGAAACAATCTTCGTCTGTTCTTCTAAGTCTTCTTAGGTACTGCTCACAGATCTTTGATAACGTATAAAATAGATTCATTCTGGAACACAATGACAGCTTACTTAATTCAGTGACCAAATTATAATGTACCAAAGAAAACTGTTTTATGACTATAATATATTTTAAGTTAAATAAAATAAGATAATCAATTCAAAGGAAAATTAAATTTTGAGGCTGTTTGCTCTTTTTCCTGATGTGGTATTCTTCTCATTTAAGAAATCACTTTGGAAAATTCATTCATTACTTACAATTCATTACTTAAAATGTTCTTGAAATACTGAATTTTTAAATTTCTGAGAGTGAAACGCATTTCAGATCTGACAATCCACTCACATTGTTATTTTAATTCACAGTTTAATAAGAACACTGAATTACACTTAATGTGAGAATTAAACACTTGAGGCCCAATGAGAATGAAAAGAGATTTTAGTTGCTTCTTTTCCCTAGAGTTGTTACTTGTGGGATGAGATTCCCAGGGGAGATCATTATCGGTGCTTGCTCCTGATCAGGTTGTCATACTCACTCTATAAAAATGTCGTATCAACCAAGCTTTGCAGAAGACCAAATGGTTTTGGGCGTCAGCCTCCTCAGACATCAGATTTAGTGACTAAAGGTACGTTGAGGCAATACTTACCTCACACTATCAGGGCCTTTTTCTTTTCACAGGAGTAAATAAGAAAAATGCAGGACACTGAAGTCTCTGGGAAGAATGGGTATGTTTTCAGTCCTGTCATTGGCTTTTATAGTTCTATATTCTTTACCCAAAGTCTCTTTCTCGGTGTTCATGGGGACAGATGGTAACTGACCTGACTGCACTGATTCTCGTTGTAAGCACCACACTCCCTGATTCCTCATGCCTGTATCATCTCTCTGTCCCCTACTAGCAAACACTTCTTTGTTTACTTGCCTCATCTCAGAGAGGGTGAAGTATTTATTCAGTTACTTGGAACCTGCTTTAACTTCTGTGAAATACAATTTGGAGAATTGTTCTATGAAAAGCACTGGGCCCAGCACTACGTTGCGTTAACAAATTAGTGTAGATGAAAAACTCATACAACATAAAATGAAGCATGTGTCACACTTGCACATAAGGAGCATGTTTATGTGCATTTACAAAGTGGTTCTCTTAACTGGAATTACACTATTAAAGATCTTAACTGAGAGGATTTTATCACATAGGAATTTATGGAGTAACCTAAAAGAGAAAAGCTACAGGATCATAATGAGTTGAAACTCAGTGTCTAATAAATGTGCTTTTGTGGAGCAGCCGCATCATGTGACACATGCTGCAACATAAAGGAAAAAATCATTTTGTTTTTCTTGAGCTTCACTGATGCCCTGTTCTGCGCTAGCATGATAATAATTTTGCTCTTGTAGGACCTGCTAGCTATGATATTTATCCCACTGTCTAGTCCACCTCCTTGTTCCCTTCTAGATTGTTGTTTTCTAGGGAGTAGAAATCCATGTTATTCACAGCACATAGTAAATAGTTTGCTTACATTGTCACTATTGTTTGCTTTAATATATGTACATTTATGTGCATAATTTTATATTTTATATATATACTGAAATATTGTTCTCTTATTCAACATGCAGCACAGCCTGGGGGTTATGTTATTGATTAACAGTTTTTCAGGTATTACTGGTAATTTATGTATCACAAATGTAAGAATGTTTACTTAAATATTCTGACATGATAAAATCAGAATATCCATTCTTAAACTTTTAAAATGCAATAGTTTTTAATATTTTTTGGTTTCCTTAGTGTTGTCTCTTAATTTTGTAGATGGTGTTATTTAAAACAGAATTTTAAAAGTTCTCATGTTTCATAAATTACTATTTTTCCTATGGTAACTTCTGGTTTTTGTATCTTATCTAAGAAACCACTGTAGCATCCAAGGCCACCAATATTTAGGCCTCTATTTTGTTTCCTGTTTTTCTCAACTGTTAGCTCTTTCATTTAGTCCTATGACTCACTTTGAGGAACTTATTATGGATGGTATGAGAATGAGTTCCAAATTCACTCTTTCTGATGTACTGACCTAAATGGTCTAGCAGTGGTCTGTTACAAAAAGTAATGTTTTCCCATTGAATTGTCATAAAACCACTATAACAACTCAATTAATGATAGATACTTGTTTACTTTTGGCCTGTTAACTCTATTTTATATATATATATATATATATATATATATATCTCAATACCATCCCATCTAGGCCACTGTAAATTTGCAGTAAGTTTTCAATTAAGAAAATGTGACAGCAAAAACTTGATATTTATCTTTTAATATTTCTTTGATTGCTCTAAGTTTATTGCATATTTATAATTATCTTAGGATCAACATGCCACCATCTAAAAATAACAAAGGAGGGATTTCCACAGGGATTTTACTGAATTTGTAAGTCAGCTGGAAAGTATTGCCCTTTCACAATCTAGTCTCTTGGTTCATCAGCAATGCGTTTCCATGCTGAAGGACTTTAGTATCATTCTGTGGCTCTTTCTCACTTTGAGTGTGATCTCATGTATTCTTCTACTGTATTCTTCAGCATTGCATCTTTTCAGAGTATTGATAAATTTTACTATTCATATTTTTATTATGCATTGTCTGTATAAATAGAATTGAGTTTATATGTGTACAGAAATAGAATTGAGTTTATATGTATACCTTTAAAAATCACCTTGCAGGGCTGGGGATTTGGCTCAGTGGTAGAATGCTTGCCTGGCAAACTGGAAGCCCTGGGTTTGGTACTCAGCACCAAAAGCAAAACATAAACCTCCCATAAAAAAACAATTCAACCAAAAGCCACCGTAAAGTCAAAAAATTAAAATTATCACCTTACAAAACTTCAGACTAGCCTTTTGTACAGATTCCTTCAGGTTTTGTCTGTGTGAAAATATGCCATTTACCAACAGAATAAAAGAAGAATTAATTCTTATTTGCCAATCTAAATTCTTTTATTGTCATTTTGTTACATAATTTTCATAGGTAGACACCCTGGATTAATTTTATTATTTTTTAGTTTTTAAAGAGAATAAAAATAGTAAAAATTTACAAATGATAGAGAATTTCTCTAAATGATAGGAAATCAACAAAGGTTGTTAAATTACATACTGTTGTCTTCAAATTATTTGCTCAGATTATAAAATATAAGTGTATAAAATTGATCAAAAAAGGAAAAATATTGGGGGCCAGGAGATGGCTCAGTAGAATTAGTGCTTCCCTGGCAAGTGCAAGGGCCTGAGTTTAATCCCTGGTTCCAAAAAAAGAAAAAAAAGAAAGCATTAACTGTTCCTTTCAATAGACCAGTAGAAATCAGCGGTACAATTATCCAAGCTGTCCTGTGTATGTACAAATTAGAGACTGGATGGCTTGTGCTATTAGTTTTATAAAGGAAATATTTAGTATTTTACAGTTCAGTGCAGCATTTTTCTGAATGCTGTTATTTTAACACACAAAAAAGTATTTTGTCTGTAGAGAAGCGGATAGTTGTAGTGGTTAACTAAGATATATCATCTTGATTTGAGTATTAACCTCCTAGCAGACTAATGAAGTAATACTTGTGTTTTTTGCTCACTAATGTATAGACCAGCTTCCTGGGGGAGGATGACCCACCTGGGGTGGGAGTAGAGCCAACAGCTACATTTGCAGTATGGGTGGAAAAAGAAAAAGGAAGTAATGCTCCCTTTTAGGAGAATTCTGGCCTGTGCTATCCCTTTGGACTTTTGTCTGAAATTCTTCAGATTCCTAGTGCAGAATCTTCAGCCCTTCCGACACAGATTCACATGTGTGACTCCAGTGAGCTTTGAGGATTCAACCTTGGACTGCTGCTAAATCCTTTGTTGGCCAAAAGAATCGTTTTTGATTCTTCTGCCTTTCATTTTATACAATGACCCTGTAAAAATGACAGAAGGAAATCATTCCACAGTCACTGAATTCATCCTCACTGAAGTCTCAGAAGATACATGTATATTTATTTGATTCTGTTCCTTTAAGAGTACCTTAATATGAAGATCATAATAAATAAGATATGATTCATGAAACACCTTTACACAACAAAGTGTTATTCAGCTATAAAAAGGATACATTTGAGGCTTTTATTGGTAAGTGGATGCAACTAGAGACCATGCTCTTAAGTGAAATAAATCAGACACGCATATGCAAATATCATATCGCATTTTTAGTATAAGAACCTATAAAAGCAAATAAAATCTGGAGGATACAATAGATACTGTGAAAAGGGAATGAATCTATTAAAAAGAAGGAATTATTTAGATGAGGAGAAGGACAAAAGAGGGAGGGAAGAAGGGAAAGTGAGATAACTATGTATGTATACAAGATGGCTTGGATAAATGTACTGTGGATTTCTGCTGGTGGATGGAAAGGAGCAGTTAATGCTTACCTTTTGTTTTCTTTCTCTATTCTTAATTTCTTATAACATTTTCCCTAACTTTGAATGTTTATGTCGTGTAATCTAAACAACTAAGTTGAAGATAACACTATGCAATGCAACATATAGTGTTGATTTCATATTATTTTGTTTGGTGAAATTCTGTATCATTTTTTATTTTTATGCCATTATTTTGTATTCTTTTTAAAAGATAAAGCAATAAGTTGTCAACATTGTCCTTTGAGTGTTCATGGGCTGAGCATTATTAATTGCAATACTTATTGGAAAAAAATAAAGATATTCTTACACAATATAGAGTTCTATGGTTTTTATTTCTGGGATCTCAAAGTCATTGTAGTAAAATAAATGAGGATCTGACAGAGAGTGCTAAATGAAAGCTTTTTCAGAGTGAGAAAGCTAGATTTCTGTTTCTCACTTAATTGTTGGAAAAATAAATACCTATCCAATTTTTTCCTTCTCTTCCTATGCAAATTGCCAGCAGGAAATGACAGAAGGAAACCATTCCACAGTCACTGAGTTCATCCTCGCTGGGGTCTCAGAACAGCCAGAGCTCCAGCTGCCCCTCCTTCTTCTCTTCCTGGGAATCTACATGCTCACAGCAGTGGGGAACCTGGGCATGATCACCCTGATTGGTCTCAGTTCTCACCTGCACACCCCCATGTACTATTTCCTTAGCAGTCTGTCCTTCATTGACCTCTGCCACTCCACTGTCATCACACCCAAAATGCTGGTCAACTTTGTGACAGAAAAGAACATCATCTCCTATCCTGAGTGCATGATTCAATTCTTCTTCTTTTTGGTTTTTGCTATCTCAGAGTGTCACATGTTGGCTGCCATGGCATATGACCGCTATGTTGCCATCTGTAAGCCCTTGCTTTACCATGCTACCATGTCTGCCCAAGTCTGTTGGTGGATGGTAGCTGGGGTGTACACCATGGGTTTGGTTGGTGCCACAGCTCACACAGTCTGCATGCTAAGAGTGCTTTTCTGTAAGGAGGATGTAATAAATCATTTCTTCTGTGACCTTTTTCCACTACTGGAGCTCTCGTGCTCCAGTACTTTAATCAATGAGGTGGTAGCACTGTGCTTCAGTGCTTTTAATATTTTTTTCCCAACTCTCACTATCCTTACTTCCTACATCTTCATCATAGCCAGCATCCTCCGCATCCGCTCCACTGTGGGCAGGTCCAAAGCCTTCAGCACCTGCAGCTCCCACATCTCGGCTGTGGCTATTTTCTTTGGCTCTCTATCATTCATGTACCTGCAGCCTTCATCAGTAACCTCCATGGACCAACGGAAAGTGTCTTCTGTGTTTTATACTACAGTTGTGCCCATGCTGAACCCCCTGATATACAGCCTGAAGAATAGGGATGTGAAGGTTGCCCTAAAGAATTTATTTCAAAACAGAAAATTCTTGTGAAAAGAGTATTACATTTTAGTAAAATTTTCTATTTCTATAGTTTTATTAATGAAATAACCTAGGCAATGTCCTGAAGCTGTGAGATTACTGTTGGTAACTATTTGAACAAAAAAGAGCAAGGTAGAACGGACTTGATGTGGTCAGACCCAGAGAGGACAGAACCTCTCTGGGATTTCCCAGAATGCATTTACCCAGTGTCATATGCATCATCTCTATATAGTTTTGTGAATTCTTGAATTGCCTCTATGTGATTGATTATGATTATGACTTTTATGTATTAAGCATGGATCTTTTAATTCAATAATTAACTATCATGATTTAGGCAATAAATATGTTTGATTAGTATCTTATCTTCTCAACATTTTGTGTCCCTAACCTTGTAATTCAGTGTACGGAGAAACATTTCTAAAATTATGGTTTCTGAAACACATAATTTTTTACCCTTTGGAATATACAAAATATAATCCATCCTGTTTAAAGCTCTACTAGGTGGAATGGTGAGTGAGTAGCAGATTTTACCCACATGGTGATAGAAATATATGGGAAAATAGGGACAATAGGAAACAGATATAGTGATGGTACATGTATTTTTGTATCTATGAAGCATTCTTAGCTCCACAGGCTGCGATCACACCACCAGTTCTACTTCCAGGTCACTATGCCCCCATCTCCCTCTATTCCTAAAGAGATAATACTTTAAAAAAAAAAAAAAAAAACCAGCATTTTACTCTCAGATTGAGAACTGGTATTCCTTCACTTTTTCATTCTTATGAGTTCTTTGTTTACACAGAAAAGGTAAAGGCTTACACACTGTGTCCTGACTAATGACAAGCAGCTCTTCCACACCAAACTGGCTGTCTATTGTATGAAGAAGCATTTTGTTGAGAAGCTGAGATGGTGAGGGTCATCAGGACAGAATTCAGGCAGAAACATTATGTTAGCTTCTGTTTTGGTCACAGTTAGATTTGTCAGTACACACACACACACACACACACACACACACACACCTTAAAGCAAATAATTTAAGAATTAACATCTTAACTCTGTTCAGCCATCATTCTTGATGCTTCCTTATTCTCAAGAGACTTTTGCCTCTGTTCCATCTTTCTAAATTTTAAATAAATTTAAATGAAAACAGAAATGTTCATTCTCTCACATTTAACCTCATTCTTGTTTCTTATAAGGTTCACCTCTGCTTCATCAAACATATTGGCATAAAGACAGACAGTGATTGCCTTTTTCTTTTCTATATTTTTCCTCTAGCAATAAACCACTTTTTTTTCAGAACTGGGATTGAACACTCTAGACCTTGTGCTTGCTAGGCAACTGTTTATTCTACTAAGCCATCTCTCCAGCCTATAATAGACCACCTTAAACTGTTCCTTTAGTGTATGTCTTAAAAGCTTACACAATTTTTGAATATTTTAATATATTGGCATGAGATTTACTAGAGCTCCAAAATCGTCTCTCACATTCTTCGTATATTCCATAATCAAACAAGAATACTGAACTGCTACACCAAACATTGAACAAACCAATGCAGGACAGGGAAAAATCTAATGTTTAATTTTCTCCAGAGTTGATACTAGTGGGATCAGACGCTCTGTGGAAGTCATTATTGTTGTTTGTTCCTATTCATACTCTTATTGTCTTTACCCAACATTTAAACCCCACCTTTCATCCAACCTTTACAGCAGGCATTAGCTTCATCAAAGATCTGGATTTGTTAGATCTAGATTGTTAGTGTGCCACCTTCTCACACTTGCATTTGTCATTCCAAAAGTCTAGAGAAAAAACAAGCCACGATGAACTCTTGAAGGAAGTGCCAATTTTAAGATCTTAGAATCATCAACTGTAGGCTTTCTCCAGAATTGATAAAAATGTATGTGGTGGGCTGGGGAGATAGCTCAGCAGCATAAGTACCTGCATGACAAGCGCACGGTAATGACCTTGATCTCTGCATACTACATGCCATGCTGGCCCTGGAGCACCAGGCGAGCCATGCCAGCCCCAGAACCAGGCATGGTGGACCTGGCCTGTAATCCCAGAATTAAGGAGGCTGAGACAGGAAGTCTGAGATGCAAAGTGAGACCTTGTATCAAAAATTAAAAACAATATTTATAAATATTTTTCTGTCTCTCTTAGCCTCCTTGAAAGATGCATTGTTTTATGGGCACATGTCCTCTTATTATTTCTGTGACTTTGCAGTAGAAAATTATGTTAAGTATGTCTTACTTCTTACTTATTTTAACTGAGATAATATGAAGAAGAAGAGCTTTATTGTTAGTTTGGATGTCTTAAGTTATATCTAAGCTTCTCCAAACATATTTTTGTCAAGATTTAGTATCTGCCATGTACTATACTGCACACTTTAATTTACAATGTAGTGAGGAAGAAAAGCTAGTAAATTACTCATAAAAAAATTAAACATGTGTCAGATGTGAATGTAATGAACACATTTGCAGGGAAACAAAAAGTGAAACTGAGCATTTTTCTTAAAAAAAAAAACAAAAAAACAGGCAAATTAGGGTTGAGGAGATAGCTTAGTGGGCTAAGCGCCTGCCTGGCAAGTACAAGGACCCAGATTTAATCACCAGTACCACATGCTATGCTGGTCCCTGGGCCGTGATGGCCACCAAAACCTGGCAAGGTGGTGCACACCTATAATTCCAGTGCTGGGGAGGCTGAGACAGGAGCATCACTAGGAGTCTGAACTGCATAGTAAGACCCTGTACCAAATACATAAATGAATAAAAGACTTCTTTTAAAAAAAGTAAATTTGGGGCCAGGGAAATAGCTCAGTAGAATAAG